CTACTCCTACTCCTACTCCGCTACTCCTACTCCGCTACTCCTACTCCTACTCCGCTACTCCGCTACTCCGCTACTCCGCTACTCCTACTCCTACTCGTACTACGAGACTTACGAGCAGTGCTACCATGGCGATGGAAGATATGATGACGGCATCTTTCGGAAGCTTCATTCGCACTATGCAAAACGTCTGGAAGCACTAACCGCATAAGGTCGCGACGTCGTGTGGGACTTCTCCCTTCCGTCATCATGATGTCGCTTTCCCTGAGGTTGATAGCAGGTGCTAGATTTCTTCGCTTGATTGTTATAAGCAAGGATCCAAAACAGGACTAGATCCTGGGGACTACAGCTCGGGGGCTGCAACGGGTCTGGTGTTTCGCGTCTCGTGGCACGAAGTCAACGGGGCATTCCACAAGCTCCCCTAAAGTCCTGCTCGAGCACGGATGCCCCAAACATACTGAAGTGTGAAGCCATATGCTTCGTCGTAGACAGCTAGTGCCGGCATGCCCGCTGGTTCCGAGGGCCTCCTGTTTGGATCTCGACCGAAGCGTCCATGGAAGTAAGGACGATCCTGATAGAGCTTCAAGGACTACGTTGGCAAGAGCATACATGAGCGTTTGTTCCACGCATCAAACATTATGATGTATGACCTAGGGGAACTACGGTAAATGACTAAACCCCACAACCCCAAACCATGAAACTTCAAGCCGAGACCGCATACCATTGAACCAAACACGGTTTCGATGGAAACGACCAGCTCCTTTGGATGGAACAGGACTCGAGTTTTACGTGCTGAGGGCTCAAGGTTCGACTGCAGAGTGCCAGGTTTAGGCATGCCCCAGCTCTCTGTGCTTTTGGGCTCCTGGGCTTTTGGTGGAGAGTAGGGATGTTGAAGTCCAAGGATACGGAGCGCGGGATTCGATGCAAGGGCCTAGTCTCGCTCCCAACACCCCGGGGCTTCCCCGACACCTGAAAACCCCTAAGCCCTGGACGCAGGAGCTGGACTGGTTCCATCGCAAGCCCTGCGCGACGAACCTTTTTCACCAGAAGCCCGATCTTCAAAGCCCTGTCCATGCACATCCATCGAAGGAAAAGGGGAAGACTCCAAAAATCCAAAATCCCCCCTCCGCCCCGGCCAGCTGCACGAGGACAAACTCGGCAAACTCGTGTGGGGAGAAGCCGGGAGAGTATTCAAGCCATGCTGACCTGTCCGCTGGATCAGAGATCTGAATGTTAGGGTGTCCAGGTTTTGGGATTCGGGCTTCATGTGTTCGAGTTCCTGAGTGCCGGGCTCCTCTCCTCGTAGTTGTTATCGGTTTTCTTTGTTCTAATTTCATTCTAATGTTTTTACTGACCGTGCCAAGGCCCGTAGTGCCATAGGCCGCCCTGAGTTTGACAAAGATTTCGCTTAAGGATTGCTGTAAATCTGATGCTGGGGCCGGCAAGAGCCATAGTCGCGGGACTAGAACATCATTTCAGGTGAAGGTGGCTCTGCACACTAGCTTGTTGCATCAGGCACTTATCCGAGGTTGGACCACCCTGCCTATCGCATGTGTTTTTGTCCGACAGCTGTGGTTGAGTCCTGTCAAAACATGAAGAAGCAGAGGCAGAAAAACATTTGCTTCACTGCCTACAGGTAGTACTTGCAACTGTCGGGAATGGCTTGTAGCTTAAACAGCACCTCAGGATATCTCGTCTTTCGTGCTACTCATTATAGGCATTCTGATTCTCCAGTGACCGATGCCTCTTGTCGGCAGGGATTGCGTGATTGGCCGGATGCTCCTGCACGGGTGATGCTCCGGGGACTTCCAGTTGCAGATCCTGTACTTGCCGGAGAGCGAGAGAGCGAGAGAGAGAGAGAGAGCGAGAGGGAGAGACAGGGAGAGAGAAAGAGAGAGAGAGGGGAAGGCGAGAAAGAGACAGGGGAAAAAGGAGAGAGACATAGAGCGAGAGCGAGGGAGCGAGATCGATCGCGACAGCAAGCGCGAGAACGAGTGCGAGCGGGATTTGTACATATCTGTAAGTATAGGTACAAGCGAACGTATAAATGACTGTGTGTATACATACTTACATACATGCATACATACATACATACATGCATGCATACATACATACGTACATACACACACATACATACATACATACATACATACATACATACATACATGCATACATACATACATACATCCATGCATGCATCCATGTATGCATGCATACACTCGTTTTTAGATGCTTATGTATACTTATATGTACATTAAGCTGATGTGAGGCCTCAAGCTTGCAAGGTTCTGATGTTGGCCATGATAGTTGATGAAATTCTAGCACAATGTCGTGAGTGGAATTGCGAATGCGGGGGCGGCGGCAATCTGTCTGGCTGGCTAGCAGGGTCAGGCCCTGAAAAGGGACCGAAAGCACATAGGCGCGTCGTGGTTGGCTCTGAGCATGCTGGCACTGCAAGCTTCAAACCGGAACTTGGTACAGGCGCAGGGTGAACGTGATGTATTGCACGGTATTTACCCACATCCTAGCAACTGTGCATTGCTGCCGGCACTGGTAAGCTCATCTTCGCATGTCAACCATACCCCTCACCCCAAACTAGACCCCAAATCTCATTCATTCTCCAACTATTAAGGGGGCTTGGGGCTTATAGGCTAAGCTCGGGGTCATACCGTAAGTCATCCCTTTCAGTCCGAAAGCCCGAGGCCCGGAACCCCAAGACCTAAGCCCAAAACCCTAAAACCCCAAACCCTGAAACCCTAAACCCTCAACCCCAAAACGAACCCTGAAACTGAAGCCCAGAAGCCCGAACACCCCGGACCCCAAAACCCTCAAGCCTAACCCCCAAAACCCAAGCACTAAGTCCCTAAGCAGCCATCACCTGACGACCCCTGGCACGAAACCCGAAGTTTCGCAGCTTGGCTCGGCCTTGAAGGCTGGTAGGTGAGCCTCGGTAATTTGGGTTTAGGGTTCGGGGGCTTTAAGAATTTGAATAGGATTCAGATGAGGTGTCTATAGGTCTATAGGATTTTCCGGTTTGAATTAAGCCTTATGAGAGAGGGTTTAATGTTTCTTCTCAGGTTTCATGCAACATTATCCTCAAAAGTTGCAATAAGGTTGTCGAAAAAATTCTACTGCTAATTTACCGAGACCCCTATAGTAAGGACGTGCATGACAGGCGGCCTGTCTTTCTAGGATGCCCAGGAACGTGGATGCTGGTAGCCCAGCTGATTGACAGTTAACGTCACATAATATGTTACAATATAGTATAATAGTGTGAAGCAAAATACAATTATTTAATATTCCATGATGTAATATACTATGCTACAATGTAGTGTGTAAA